GCAGATGCTGCTCGCGGCGGGCCGGGCGGCGGTCGCACACGCGCGGCGTACAGCGCTCCGTATAAAGTGGGACGTGCACTGCAGGTGGGAGTCGTGCCGGCGTTTTACATACTAAGCGCGGCCGGGCCGTGAGCTCCGGATAAAACACACCCTCGTTAAGGCCGGCTCCCTCCCTTTGCGCTCTTACATTCTCCACCCCCCCCCCCCCGTTTTCTCTCTTTCTCCTTCTCCCTCCTTTTTGTTTTTTTTCGGGTGTCTTAACCTTTTGTCCAATCTCTCGTTGTGTGTTTCTGCTTTGCGTAGCTCTGACCTACGTTTATCTGTGGAGGAACGTTGAGGGAGAACGCCCTTTCCTCCGCCACATTCGTGCTTAATGGCTCCGGAGTGCGGCGCTTTCAATATAACTTTCCGTTGGTGGCGCGGGGGCCGGCTTAGAGGGCAGCGGTGAGCCCGAATGTAATGACGGTGGGGCTGGGGGCGGGGCGGGCGGCCCGGGCACTCGGCGATGGAAACATTATGCATAATACGCACCGCCTGGGGTGTGATCACGGTGTGATCCGCTGACCCAAATGGTGGCGGGGAGGGGCTGGGCGAGGACACTCGGCCGCACGCACGGCGGCCCCGCCGCGCCTTGCGACCGTAACGCGTCCTCATCGGCCTCCTCGGCTCACACCTGCGCCGCCTCCGCCCCGCACTCTACATACCGCCCCCATACCCCTACCGCCCCCGCACCCCCCGACACGCACACACCAGCCGGGCCTACCCCACCCACCGCTACCCCACCGTCACCGCGTCCTTCGGAACCCACCCCGCCTGCCAGCAGCCAGCGCGCCACCCCCGGCCCAGCAGCAGAGCTCTGTGCATACATATTTAGAGGGCGGCTTGGTGAGGCTGGGTAGGGCGGCGTGGATCGGTGGGGCACGGCCCAGCCCCAGCCGCGACCCCCTGGGAGCCCGCCCCGTCCTGCGGTGCGGATAGCGATACGTTGCGCGGGGATTGGCGTCCACGACATGGCAAACAAGTTCATCGCGCAGCTTCGTAGCCCTGTACTACTGGATCCGTGGATCCGCCTCGAGCGTCCCCCGGCGGACCGCGCTCGGCGTCCCCAGGGGTCGCCCTCCACGTCGCGCACCTCCGTCTTCTCCGTCGGCACATGCGGCCCTCGACGTCCTCCACTGGTCCCTGACCCGCCCCGCCCCC